CCCGCCGTATCCACCAACCCGGTTAAATCGCCGGACATTCGCTTTTCGTCCTCTCAATTTCGTAAACAACAGTAATGCCACGAGAAGGCAGTGAGTAGGACTTCCACTACACTTTTTATTATTGATGATTGTTGGTCGGACTTGTCACCATGCCTGTACCTTGTTTTAGTTAATCTTTCAAAAGTTATTGGATTTTCATGCAGTCAGCCCACCGAATGCTTTTATTTGTATACGTCATCTATTTGCAACGGTGAATAAATAAAGACCAAATGAAGTGGCGTGTCGTTACCTTATCACTTTGACGTCCTAGATGTTACTTTTTGTTGTGCGCTGCCTCGATGTTGATCATATTATTTGAACAGTCGTAACTTATTGAGAGCTTAACTATTAATTTAACAAGAATTATTAGCCAAGTATCCAACCTGACGTTTCTATAAATCGATGGTTTACAAGTAATATAAAATTTACTGCTCATTATGTAAGCATCATTTGCTTGTGTATACATACTTCAATATTTGTAGACATCTTTTTCTGCTACGTGTTCATATTTAACTTAATTCAGGTACAATCTGTTACAAACTAGTAAATAATTTTTAAGTTGGTTCTGTTTTTGTTGATATAACCGACTGAAAACTGCCCTTATTCGCTAAGGTTCATTCTTCATTCGTGGTGCATTAATAGTTAAATTTATTATAACGATGTTCTCTTTCATTATTTGCCCCCTTCATATTACTTTTTGAATCCATAAGAGACTGAAGTAATGTTTCATACAAGGCGCTTAACCCAACCGACTGGTTCCAGTTAAATAAATTGTATAAAAACCCTCACTGGCTAGTTTAGGGCGTTGTGGGCGTTAGATTCCGGCTAAAAAGTTCATTAATAGAGAATGTATGACAGTTGAGTAAAGGGTTAACTTCGTTGGTGTGTTATCAGTTATGTAACTAATTTCGGGTCGCATATGATATGTTCGTGCACTAAACTAAGATTATGTAACTCTGACTTCAATAATAAATGAGACTACTTCCATCGTCTTTCTTCGCCCCCCTTTATCTGGGGTAAAAAAGCTGAATTCTTAACGGAAGTTCTATTGATGATAACCTCATTAGAATTAAAAATACATGTTATTCGGTTATATATCAGCTACAATGACCAGTATTCATAAGTTATTGTTACTTAACACATGGTAAAAAATACATTGCAATTTCATAAAGTAATGCTTTGAAAGTTGACCTTCCATTCACTTTAAATCTATATTGATTTCCTCTTTAAGTTGTAGTTGTATTCCGTTTTAAATATACAATTTCGGGAATAATGTCGACAGTACAGATTTCCTGTAGTTGTGTAACGCAGTTATCTGATAGGGTATGTACTCGAGGTTTGAATTTACTCTGTAATAAATATTTAGCTTATTTGAGATTTTTGATTTGTATATACATTAAAACCATTACTCACCATTACATAAACCATTACTCACATTTTACTCGTTTGCTTTTCCCCCAAGTCTTTCCAGCAACTCCCCATCGAATCTCTTTCAAATGCTATCCAGGAATACGCTGTTGTTAGCGATCTACTACAGTGTTTGCAAGTAAATTTCATTTTAATCAATTTGTGTTATATAAACATAAATAATAGGTCTATTCATTGCAGATTAGACTGCTCTATTATTCAGTTTTTGTCGCAATTAAATTAAGAACTGCTCTTAAATTTCCATAAACATTTCAGGGCAACCAAGGACTTTACATCAAACCTCTGCCTTTATCAAATCGTTACGCAGTCCGTTGTTTTAAAGTGGATGAAAAAATGAGTACGTCTGTTTTACGTTCATATGTTAACTCCATGAAAATAGCTATAGTTAGTGGTATTCACCAATTCTAATGAAAAGATTTTATCATAGTATTTTTCATCGCTAATGTGATTAATGCTCAGCTCTCTGGTCAGTAGAACACTTACCTAATATCTGAGTGTACTATGTTTAACTATATTTAAATGTCCAAGTTACTACGTTTTTGTTTTATGAACAAAATTTCCTGTGAGTGTTTCCGGCTTGTAAATATTACAAAAATCTTTTTGAAAGTCAAGTAAGATGTTCACTGATGACTAATAGTTTGACATAGTTCTGATGACTTCGTACTCGTAAAATTGTTTCTTGTGTTTCTGAATAGTGTGTGTGAGCTGTCTCTGGAAGTATGTGGCCTGCCTAATACTCCTTCCAGGAATAAATTGTGTTAAGATCTATCACTTTAACAAGTGTAGTGGCTTCTTCAGGTCGGAAAACGAATCTGGTAAGCAGCCTCATTGTGTATGGTCATTTCAGAGTCCGTAGGAATTTGTAATTGATGCATACGGAAACTCACTCAAAACTCCGTGACATCGTTAAAAAAGTCAAGGACAATATATTAGTTGAATTTTTACTGCTAACCTTTCCAGATTATAGTGCATCCATCCAAGTATATGGACAAGAGTTTAAAATAACTGGATACTTCATCAAAAAACACTTAAAGCAATATATCAGGTCACTACTTTCTATCAAGAAAGAGTTTCGATGTTGTTTGCCGGTGAATAATTCAATCCTCCTGCAACATAAGCCTATTTTCAAATTAATAATGTCACATGTAGTAATTTACGGTAAGAATGTGTACAGATATAAGTTCTTTTTAGGTACCTATTTGGATTTCGATCGTCCCCTCGCATGCCTCAAACTCATCTTTCGTTCTCAACAGATTTTTCCAAAACTTATTGATGTAAGGAAATCAATTCTCTCGACCATTAAATCTGAGTATCAAAAAGAAAATTAGACTTCAACTAACTGGAAAGTATAAAAAAAGCCTAGGCTAAATTTGCCGGACTCCATGGTGATGCGTCAGTCAGTAATCTTTAGAGCGTTTGGGTTTCTGGGCAGAGCGCCCCAAGGGATAATTCACCTATCCATCCGATTACCACAGCGACTTCGATAAATCTTTCATGTACCCTTTGGCCAGATACTACTGATCCACCTAAAAAAGTCGAGGTATAGAAGAAAATTCAACCTCTGAAGCATCATAAATCATCAGACCCAGGATAGTGAGGAAATTATGATGAGAGAACTGTCTTCACTGTTAAACAAGGTTTAGCATTCATCACCCTAAAATGAAGCAATTGTGACACTCATATTTGGAAAGAACATAAATAAGACATGTAATTATAGACATCTCTCTTTGATCCTATTCAAATTACTAACCTACATAGTTATGTGAGCGCTAATGATACGGTGAATAAGATCAGTATACGTGTAGCAAACCCCAGCATGGTTTGTGTTCACCAGGACAACGTTTGATGCTATCCTAATGTTCGTCTGGTCGTTACATTTGATTTTAGCTCATCTCGTTTGGATTCTTTGCTCACTACCGTTCATAATGATTGCGGAAAGTTCTATCTCTCCCCACCGAAATTGATTTCTAATTTAGTAGGAACTTGTGAAATCGATCAATCTTTTCTAACTGTTTTGGTTAGGTTCTACAAGTGATCACTACTGTTTTTGTAGCATCAAGTGTAACCTTACAGTAATCTTTGACTCCGATGCAATCACAGTGTACACACATTGTCTGAACGGTCGCAGCGAAGGAAAAGACTGAATTTGATCAGGGAGTGTTAATACAAAATCAACTAATTTGCTCATAGTTCATAAGTATATGTATGTCACTGATATGGAAGCGGTGACCTTGTCTAAATGGATAGTACGTATTCCAGTGGGGTGCTTCGCTTAATCTTCGAACTTACCAGTGGCCTTGAGACATTTAACTGACCCTTGCAAACCACTTGCCTATGCTCAACCAAGTACGTGCTTAGGTACTTCCTTAAAAACATCCTAAATATTCTCATCGTCAAACTAAGCTTTGAATCTTGTTGCAACGTTACTACATCCAATAAAGCACTTATAAGCGTGCAAGCTCATCCGTCATCAGAAACTCAGTCCAGGAGTGTCTGTTCTGTCTTTAAAATTAAAGCTATTATTGCTCCACCAAAACCACAGAATCTGCCGTCAATTTTTCAATTACCCAAAGGATAAACCATCCTGGAGCTCCATATTGTCAGTGGGGTCAAATAAATGACCGTGCTTTGCTTATTTGCTCGTGTTTGGGGAGAGTCCGCTCTCCCTCTCGAAATGCTCCCACATAGCCACGCGTATATAGCCTCTGCCAGGGAAGTCCTACTCACTGCCTTCTCGTAGCGGGCGGAGGTTGTTTACGAAATTAAGAGGACAAAAAGCGAATGTCCGGTGATTTAAACGGGCCGGTGGACACGGTGAGTCCACCTAGGGGAGATGGAAAACCCTGATTCCAAACCAATGGTGCACATGGGCTCCAGTACCCCAAGGGAACAAATGGCATATGGACCTGAAGTATCGGTTTATATGTTAAGCCCATATACTTTATTCTAGTTACTGGCCAAGCCAATTCTCCTATACATTATGAGTCATATTTTGATCTTGTTAATTATTCGCTTATTAACATTGGTTATTTTTATATGAGCGTATATGTGTACCCTTCATATCTTATTCATCATATGTCTAGCATTCAGTTTTGTCTGCTATAAATACTGATTAACGCTTGCTTAAAATGAGTTGGCTTCCCCGCCATCTCCAATACTCATTGTTATTGCTTCGCTCTCGAGTTGGCTTACCAACCATCTCCGATGCACGTGTCATGTATGCTTCGCTCGCTTACACTTGCTCATGTGCTCACAGCTTTCTGGTCTGCATCATTTATCAATAAAAAATGTAGTTGCCGCTTCCCTTTGCCTTCTGATATTATGCACCGTTAGGACTTGTACCATAACGGTTATCGAGGTGAACTATTAACGAACCGCGGCATTACAAACCAATTGTTGGTCACCGGCTACCATGGGACTGCATCTCCTCACCATGCTCCCCTGCCTTGTGGACTAGACCTTTAGGTCAAAGGCTCGGGGGGTGTCCCCCCCCTAAGAAAACCATCTGCTTCAGTTTGGGCACCTAGGCAGTATCACAGCCCTCACACAAATCGAATAAGATTTGTGCGGCGCATATGTATAGTTTTGGAGGTACAGTATGCTACTAGTGCAAAATTCAGACGTATAGACTAGTAAAGTATGTCCGACATGAAAAGGTTCAGACACCGAAGGCTACCAATAAAGTCTGCAGTCCGGTTTCAAGGGACTACAGGCAACATTTCGTAAGCCTGATTTGTTAGTGCTGGTTACTCATAGGATGAAACCAGAGAGGAATGATCGATAATTGGAAGAAATCAGACGCTAAAAAGAGAAGAGGTTCGACTAAAAATAAGGTAAATTTGAGTTGAATTGTGGTTTATGAGAGGATAAAACTTCTCGTTTATTCTTTTTCCAAGCCTTAAAATGGATCAGTAATGGTGGTTTTGTCGATCTGGTAGCGTAACCATGGACTTCAGTCACGCTACTTACTTGTGATATGTTTTTGTTGTGTGATCTTCTGGCTTCTAATGTTGATGGGACAAGAGACTTTTTAATTACACACACAAACATTGATATTAGTAGGCACCACATATATATGTGCGTCACATTTCGTCATTAGATTTGTATAAGGGCTGGAATTATACCGGGGCGCCCAAACTGAAGTGGTTGATTTCCTTAGGGGGCAACTCCACGAGCCTTTGACCTAAAGGTCTAACCTACAATGCAGCGGTGCAACTTTAGGAGATGCAGTCCCATGGTAGTCGGTGACCAACAATAGGGTCGCACGCCATCCGTTCCATCGGGATCCTGGAGCCCATGTGCACCATTGATTTGGAATCGCGGTTTTCCAACTCCCCTAAGTATATCCTCCGTATCCACCGACCCGGTTAAAGCGTCGTACATTCGCCTTTCGTTCTCTCAATTTCGTAAACAACATCCCCGTCTCGAGAAAGCAGTGAATAGGATTTCCCTGGCAGAGGCTATATACGCGTGGCCGTGTGAGAGTAGAGTGGACTATTATTCTTTATATATTCGAATTGTATAACTATTCAGTAACTAGATTATGTATATCTACATTCATCTGATTATAAGCTTCATTTTGACCTATTGATTATTATTATTATTATAGGATTTACTGTTCCCGAAATTATACTCAGTTTATTGATTATTGTCTCCCAGGTTCACAGCCATATCTGGCTCGATTTTGTACAAATATTATTTTCTATTTTATGGTGTGATGTGACCTGTCTGTCTGATATATAAACAGAGTATGTTTGAAATAAACGATCCGCATAGATTCGCATAGCAGAAGCTGCTATTGGTGTTCTGGACTCAAGTGGAAGGGCTAGGCGGATTAAGGACCAATGAGGACGCGATATTACTCATACTGATTGGACGTCCTTGATTGTCACCGTGTTAAGGTCGGAGAAGTCGTTTTCTATTGGTGGATAATTCACGCGAGTTACGTCCTTGTTTAATTTGTAAGTTCATAACAAATTAGGGGCGACTTTGATCAAGTCATAACAGTTATCTTCACCAAACACTTCACACCCACAACATCATAGTACAGCTGACAGTACGACTTCTCTCTCTGCCTCGTTGGATTTGATGCTTCTGGTTTCACAACTACCCAGATGACCTCAAATAATAAACATTCCGGTTAATGTTGTGCATTTAATTCTTCACGATAGACAAGTTTAATAATTGTGTCAGAGTTACAGCAACTCATTGATTTGAGACGTTGCCAGACATAACTCAGAGTAGAGGACAGTGGCGATTTTATTCTGGTTTTTCACTGGGTTTCTCATGTAGGATTCATCTTTCCGATAAACAACCTTGATCGTCTCGCCAACCGAACTATCGGACCTCCCATCTTCCATTTTTTATTAGCTATAATTTCACTTTACGTGATAAAATTTAATGCGCTATTTTACCAGATTTTCATGTTGTAAATATGAGTTAGTTTTACGGACAATTAATATGTAACTTACTAGTCACTGACACTTTTACAACCTCATTTACTTCCAGTTTTAAGTTCTTCACTTTTGTGTTTCATATTAACTGCTATATGTCGCATTCCATTCTGTTGTTTCATAGTTGTTGTTTAGTCTTACTAGCGCTAATAAGTTTCTGTTTAGCGGTGTGCTAATACATGAGCTAGGATACATTCTTTGCATAAATATACACCACATTATGGTCTAATGACCGTGATTTATTCGCCTGAGTTATCAATATCGCTTCCTTGACTACAAAGTTGGATAATTCATACGATCTTTTCTGTATCTCGTAATTTCATTTCATATTTGTCGTAAAACACTCACTACGGTTTGTGAGACTCGATTTTAATTGCATGAGAACAACTGTACTAACGTGTTTTAATGAAGTAACCCTTAAAGTTTTCGTTTAACCGACCACCAAAAGTTATAAACGAAGTGCCTAGAACTAAGTTTATTACAAAAAAATTACGTATATGGCTGAGCTAGAGCTATCAAACTCATTTTCATATCAGTTTTTTGTAGTCACAATCTTAAGACCGTACCTGTAATCATCAGTTTACATTCTCAAACTAACCTGAACTCGACTAAGGATCTGAGTTGTATGATAATAGTTGTACCTTTTTTATTCAAGCGGTTAGTTGTAGCTTTCCATCACTTCCTACGTTTACTTACTTTCCAATTCTTCTTTTTAGCTCCCACTTTACTAGATACTGTAAATAAAATTCTTCCAGTTTGTTCGGACTATTCAACAGTGGCTAGATTTATAGGTGGTGAGTTTCTGTTTTCATTTAATTATTGATTTTATCTTTTCATTCCACATAATCTTGGTCAGTGTTAAACACACGTTTTGTTAAATTGCCTGCTGACAACCTCACTCTATTATTTTTAGTTTTAATCTCTCTCATTTGGGTAGCCATGTGATATAACCGGTTTTCATACAAAGATGAAGTAAAATGACAGGTACACAAAGCTGTACTTGGCTAGCGATTCACAAGGAACCAAACTATTCAGCAACGGGTGAGGAATCTTTGGCTAATATTTATAATAGCACTGGAATATTACTATACATTATTTTTGTTTACGAATTATTGTGTTCATGACGTATGGAAATTTCTGAGAATCAAATTTTTTTAGTTTGTGATCAGTTTTATTTAAATATGTTTATGTTTGCCAAAGAGAAGTCCACATTCGAACATGGAATGGTCAACCAGGCACTAGCAGGTGCAATGCGTGGTTTACTTAAAGATTATCTTATTCTGTTATGTCAACTTGAATACCAGTATAAAATTGGTCAATTGGGGATAGTTAAACTGCACTTTTTTTTGCAGGTAAGCGATTTTGTGATTAAAATTTGAATGAATTTTAAAAGACATTTACACAAAACATAATAAAACAACAATCAGTCTAGAGTCCTGAGAGATAATGATATCGAATCCAAAGCTTGGAATAGGCTAGTTAGGAGTGTGGTGACAATCTGCAAGGTTCATTATGAGGTTGGTTCACATATAGGCCTGTTTGTGAGATAGTTGCCACTTCTGGTACGATTGGTTCCTGTTGTATCTCTTGCAGCCACTTCATAGATATATATGGCCTTGGAAGTTGTCAACATATCAAGCTTACCTTGCCAACTAAAGATTCAATAAAGATAAGATCCGAAATACGCCTTTTATTTTAGTTGTCTATCATTGAAGTTTCAGTTTAAACTGTTTATTTTCTAGTTGAGTTAACACCAATCAAAGCTGCCCTCTTATCCATATTTTTTTCGATGGGCCACCCATTAGTATCATTTTTTTATACCATTGTATGTAGTACAAAGCGAAGACATAACCTCAGGGTATTGTGACAAACCAACGCATGATAATTGAACACTAATATCTTTCATCTTGTGGCATCACTTCATAAACAGACCACCTCCCTACTTTCGCAACGCACTCTCAACTATCGTTGCTGCATTATGGTAGTCGTCGGGATAATATGCATAAAGTATTTAAGTTGCGTGACCCAATATTCCATATGTTAAGTGATAATTCTGCCCAGCGACATGTTACTAAACTCCAGGATTACCTACACTGTGTTATCACTCAGTGTGACGGTTCTTCGTGAGTCAAGACTGGTTGAACTGATTGCATGCTCTTATTTTACCTACTGTATTTTTGTGAAGGACTTTAATAGTGTTCATATACTTACGTATTCTCCCCTAAAAAACAGTTCCAGAAAACAGTTGTATCCAGCCCACACAACCATAAATACAGCAATCTCTATTCTTCAAGGAATATAACTATGTTGATGGACACAAACAAAAATTTATCTTTTCTTTGTGAATCGATCTCATGAGTTTCTCACAATCGTCATAGTTCTATGAAAGTCAATATTTCAAGTGAGATTAGAGGGAAAACGCATAATCACATGCCTTATTTATGCCCTTTCTAAGTATAGGTGTCACAATCGCGCTCTGAAGCACTAAACATGTTAAAGTAGTCTGGATTTCGCGCAACAAGAGAAAGTGCAGTTCAATAATTGTTTCTTATTCCATTACCAAATGCAGTTGACACAGATCATTAGGTTGTTACTACCTCAGCCATTGTAATATTGTATAAAAGCTAATTAGTGGGAATACTTGGATATGTTAGACCGTTGGTCGTACGCACGTTCCAATCCTTTTTGTGTTTGAAAACAATTTATACTTCTGTTAAACCTATCCTGATATTATTGACTTGTTATCCGGAGTTACGATTTGAGCTATTTTTCCCTATCTTTGCTTTTCTTAGTGTAAGCTTTGTATATATGAATACCATAATAAGTAAATATATAATCAGGCTATTCGAAATATATTCCGCTGATATATCACATAGGTCTTACAGATTTCGTCTGCTCATTGTACTATCTAAATTTATCAAATAGGCTTGCTTTCGGAGGTAACCGGGATTGTTTGTTACCCAAACAGTAAACTGACGGATGGATTCATCCTTAAACAGGTCATACGAGTTTATTACTCTCTTAAACACAAGATATATTTGAGTCTGTCGTTGATTTTAAGAAAAAATGGGTTACATCTTCATGAAGTGGTATAGGTTTTAAATCTGCCATTGTGGTGTGACAACTCTTTTTTTTACGAAAAGTTAGAAAACGTTGGAATATTGAGATGTAAAAAAAATCCGGGTTGTTTAATGTATAAACTAGCTAAGCCATGTAAGCTGTCCATTCAGTAAAACTTCACTGATAGTATTTTTATTTTTATTTATGAAGGAAACAGCTACCGCTTTCAATCAGTTAACTCGCCTTGTTAATAATATAAACACAGGACAATGTTCTGGTGGTGCAGTGTTATCAGTATTATATGATTCTTTAAGGTCTGTATATGGTGTTAAACAATTACATGATTTAATGCTTTATCTCCTGCGTTCTGTAAGTTTGAAAAGATCTTTTAATTTGATATATTGTTGATACACAGATTGTTTCGCTAGTTTTTCTTTCAAAGTGTTTTTTCAATTTGATCAATCCGACGTATTTGAAACATTAGTTTAATACGAAAAAACTATAACAAGAGTCTAACTATGGTAAAACTGAATGAAATCATATTACTTCCCTTTTTAGAACGTAAGTGGAAGTTGATGAATGTGTTCGGGTTAAGTATGCACCAATTAGTTACTAAGTAGTAATCGAAGTCAGGTTCAGTCTGTGCGAGTCAGTTAATAAAATATTATCTGTGAAACAGAGTGTACAATATTAAATTGGTCAGTACCTAGTGCTTGGTAAATCCAAATATTTCGATTCTACAAGTGATCATTTGCTATGTGAATAGCTGCGTAATAATGCCTGTAATAATAAAATTGGATAGTGCATATTCAAATACTATGAGAAGTATCAGCTACATAAAAGTTGAAGATACACCTAGGTGATGAGTGTCACGTAGCACAAAATTCATGTCTAGGGCTTCCTTTCCGTTGCATTCAGCCAATAATATAAGTAAGAATATTACCGTTATGCACCCAGTCTAATCTTCAAGCCGCTATTGGATCTCTTGTTATTACAACTCTTCCCTGTTTTGAATACACCAGTGCCACTCATTTAGTAACTCAACCAACCACCGTTGGCTGTCATGGTTAGCCAGATAGTCATTTTAAGCATAAAACAATTAAGGACGACTCGATTGTCTAGTAGGTTAATGGCCACTTCCGTACTTTCTAGAGAGTGATATTATCCTGACAACCAAAATAATTTATTTGATAATTAGGGGTGTTTTAGTATATCAGGTATATTATCCGTAGTTTACGTAACCAGTTTATAGCATTTAAAAGATGAGTGTATTGTTTCTGAATCTTTATTATAACTTAGTGATGTTTTTGCAACGACTGTGTTAAAAATATACTAAACCATCAACGAGACACCTATTAATTGCAAGTTTCCTGTCCTCATTGCATGATTATGATGCGTTGTATTGAGATAAGAAACGTGAATAGACAAAACTGACACTTTTATCAACCATTACTGATTATTAAATTCACTTTGTTATAATAAAGTCGATTTTCCTCAATTTCGATAGATCACTGAATAAAGTCGACCGGCTAACGTAAAAGTACGTTAGTCTTGTATGAGCTAAAAAATGTATAATATGCGAAAGCAATGAAAGTACGGTACGTAAAATACCTGATATGTCTTGTAGTTTTTCCCCGTCGCCACTGATATGTCTTGTGGGTTGAACGCTTATTCAGATCCTAAGCTATTCGGATAACCCCAGGACTAGCACTACTCAGCGACTTGAAAGACCAGAGAGAAGACACGAGTATCAGAGAATCACTTTACTACAAGGTTCATCTTTGTACAGAAAATCGTAGGTATTTATAGATGTTTTCTTAAGTTAAATCAACATCCTAATTCAGCCAATCCACTTAACGACATAAATTGCTACTGACCAATGATAGCGTGCCACGTTGGAACTCCAGAATGTTCTGTCGTGCTCTGATTGGTTGGAGCTCTTTTTGAGCCTCTGGAGGCTCTGTTGGAGTTCTCTGGAAACCGACTTAACAATACCAAAGATCATTAATATCAAGATGCACTTCTTCCCCAAAAAATTTAATTGAAACGCAAAATTTTCAGGCTGTATTTAGTTAAATACTGACCGGTTGGGGTGTTAGTTGGTTTTTAGATTGATCCCTTTTTGTGATAGGAGTAAATCTTGAATATCCTTCTCTTATTAAATCGATTGTCAGTTTTGTTGCACTCTCCTACTGGAAGTTTTTTGCTACGTTTGCGTTACGAATTTTATCTGGTAATATATCAATGCATCCGTTTTTACAATTAAATTAAATCATTCATATTTTGCGTTTTGTTATATGTTTTCTACCTTATGTGCCATTTTTCTTAAATTATTTTCCTATGGTTTGTTTTATATCAGGCTACCGTACCTTTTTTTAAAATTCTTCAAAAATGGATATATCGGGGTGTAATTTCTGACCCATATAAAGAGGTTAGTCAGTCAGTTAATATTTCCTTTTCAAGAATATGTCTATCAAATATATGATACGCACCATATTTAAAAACTTCTGCTCTCTTTTTCTAGCATAAAAATAGTATCTTAAGGTTTTGGATAATTGCTGGCTTACCATTTACACTTTACCAACATCTTTGAACCCAGAATACATTGTATTGGATATTTCCTTCCCACTTTTGACTCACCAACTCACATTCTCTCAGGTCAACTGATAATTCACCAGTAGCCCTGTGTAATTTGTCTTATATATACAGCAAATTATGCCCGGGCTTTGTCTCTTGATTAGGGTAAGCAAACAACTTTTGCACTACCGGGTGAACAAAAAAGCAATCTTAATGAGAAGACCAAAGAGACTGAAAGAGGTCTACCACATATAAATATGTTTGCTATGTCCTTAAAGGTAGGTCAAAAATGTTATATTTGAAGCGTTTCGAATCCACTAGTTAGCGAACGGAACAAAAACTTGTGACCAGAGACCGATAAGCTAGCTATTCTGACGCGTCCCAGACTCAGCTAACTAGAGTAAGAAGCCCAAGTTGGAAGCGGAGAAAATATATTCCGTAGCAGCCAGAAGCACAGCAGTCGTAAGGGGAAAAAATCAAACACATATATACAGCAATAAATTGTCCTTGGGTAGCATTGCAAAAGAGCACACTCAAAGATGCAACGGACCAATAGCGTTTAAGATATTTTACAAGTGGGAAATTCGACTCGAAGGTGAAAAGAGCGCTTTCAGCGCGAAAACAAAAATTCAAATTTTCAAAATAAAATTACAAAATTAGGCGGTTTACCAATTAAGTTCTAGGGATTTAACATCCCCAACAAAAAATGTACTGAAAAAGTACATATTGTAGTTCGAGTTTTCGTGATATCACAAATATACTCATCCAATTGAGCAATTAAGAACAAGATGTGAAAGACAGGTTGTATTAACGCAGGTTTACAAACTGTAAATTATAAACCATCCAAACATTGATACAAAATAATAGGAATCTATATTTCGTGGATTCCCATCAGTTGCTTACAATTATATATTTAAAGTTAAAATTGAGGCGAGATTTAATGTGAAACAATTGACATAGATAAACGAATATATATATATATAATTTAGGATTTATTTTATTTATTTAAACACATAAAAATTGGTACAATGAAGCACCAGATAAATAGGCGCCTCACAAATCTCATTCGATTTGTGTGAGGGCTGTGATACTGCCCAGGTGCCCAGACTGAAGCAGGTGGTTTTCTTAGGGGGCCACACCCGGAGCCTTTGACCTGAATGTCTGATCCACAAGGCAGTGGAGCATCGTAAGGAGATGCAGTCCCATGGTAGCCGTTGACCAATGACAGGTTCGTCCGCCATTCGTTCCATCAGGATCCTGGAGCCCAGGTGCACCATTGGTTTGGAATCAGGGTTTTCCAACTCCCCTAGGTGGACCCTCAGTGTCCACCAACCCGGTTAAAGCGCCGGACATTTGCTCTTCGTCCTCTCACTTTCGTAAACAACACCCCCGCCACGAGAAGGCAGTGATTAGGACTTCCCTGGCATAGGATATATATTCGCTGGCCATATGACAGTATTTCGAGAGGGAGAGGTGACTCTCCCCATTGTTGGCCGTACCAGGGCATTTGGGGGCATATATAATTTAGGAACAGGTTAGAGGTCATATGGAGTTGGAATTAAAAACATAAGAGGTGGTGATGCATTAATCAAATGCGGTCCGTGGACAGGTAAGATAGATTGTGTAATAATTTTAGAGGTTATGATGGGTTTTCATTGGATTATTGGGATTGAAGATTGATAAAATGGGTTACGTAGTAATTGAACGCGATTTAAGGCAGATAAAGACGAATACATTAGCGAAGTAATATCCATTGTAAATGATTCCACGAAATTTATCTTCGATAATACTCAGAAAAACTTGAAAAATGCTACTAAGAAGCATCTTTTAAAAAAGTTGAAAAATCTTGGGATTCTGTTCTCTGAGGTGGATGATTTGGTTGTGGGTCTTTCATCGTTCTTCTGAACGATATCACTAGCACAAACTTCAAGTAGAATTGATATGTCTGAATTTCTCCACATATGACTCACAGCTTGTTCTGTAGACCTCGTTGATTGGTTATTGCTGACCTTTAACCTGTCATTGTTTACTTCTTTATTTTGGTTTTATCTCCCATTTATTTTATTCTCCATCTTATATTTGTCCATAATTTTTTCTAATTGGTTGATAAGTTGGGCCAATTTCAATGAGTCTGTCGATTGTTGATTGATTTGAGTTCCAAGCTTCTAAAAATTCTCTGGTGTTTTTAGAATTACCTCTATCCAAGATCACATTTTCCAGTCCAATGTGTGTCCACAGTTGCCCACATGCATTGATAGAAGTGAGGATATGTCATGGCATTCGACCGCTAATTAATGTTCGTGCAGGCGAAGATGAAGTGGGCGACCACTTTGTCCTATGTAGTGTTTCTCGCAGTTGGGACAATTTATTTTGTAAATGATGTTCGGTTTTTCTTCTTTTGCCATCTCGTCCTTTGGTTTACATAGGGTTGATTGAAGTGATTTTGTTGGTTTTTTGTGCTACGCTTATTCCAAAAGGGCTTCAACAATCTTGTAATTTCTGATATGCCTTTTATATATGGTAAGATGATTCGTCTGTTGGTTTCTGTACGTGATTTTGTTTCTGCTGATGCATTTGGTTGATATTTTTTGAAGTTGATTGAGTAGCCGTTCTTTTGAAAGATAGTTTTTAAAACGCTACTTCAGATAGCTAAGCTACTTACTGTCCACGAAATTACATCGTTTCCAGGAGATCAAATAATCTCTGCGGACTTAGGTCCATACATATCGTGAATAAAGTGTTTGAATGTCTTCTTCCTTCAGTCGATTGTCGGTGTCTGCTATTAGGATTTACATAAAAGACTTGATAGTCTTGGTAGTTTAGGGAAAGAATTTTTTTCAATTTTAGGAAAACATATAAAATAATTACATAGGTGACAGTTTTTCAGACCGGTGTATTTGATACCGAATATGATAATGAATTGTCCTATTTACTGCCACAGCACTGGAAATGTGTGACAGCGATGATATCCTAGTAACTTGCTGTCAGCAGAAATAGTTCGTAACTGAGACATTTGTTGGGGTTTCTGTAGCTTACAAGTAAAACATCAGGCAGTAGTCCTTTCGATTCCAGATTTTTCGGTACGACACTAGTGAATGATATTTACATAAGGATGTTTTTGGTATTGTAAACCGTACTCTAAGCATCACGAGCTGATTGCTTAACATGCATAAATTTTCGTTGATAATATATTGAAATGCAGCTTCTAGAATTTCCTTACGTCTGATAGTTATGAGGGTTATCGTCTTCGGAATTTCTTGATCGCTTTATGATAAACATTTGTTATCCTTAACTATCACTTGTAGAAATTACATAGCACTGAGTAAATGATGGGTCGCTTTTTATCCATTAGAAAACTTGACAATAACTTTATGCTCATTTTGAATAGGGTTTTGACTTGTCAGTTTTGACAACAAATTGACCTGTACTTAATTTTTGCTTATTAACGTATGCTAATGCTGTACTGCGTTTTAACCTGGTGAATAAATGGGCATTACGAGATTTAGTAAAAGTTATTATTCGCTATTTACTTTCATACAACACAGAACTTTTTTGGTGTTTCTGCTACTTATTACAATTAAATTGTATGAGTAATTTCCTGAAGTTTTTGGTTTTTCTTACTGTTAATCATTTTTGACAGATTATGTAATCCCCATAATCTCATTTTTTAAAAGTTTTGTATTATCACCCACCTACTTTATAGTTATGATGAATAACTGCTTATTGCTTCCCAGTCTTCTATAAGACTGATGATATCATGTAGAAGTATCATAAGTAATTGTTCTAACAAATTTGCCAGTCAAACATTCATTTAATTCTGTGGATTTATAGTTTTTCATTTCAGCTGGATCTATGCCGGATTTCTATGATCCTGATAAATCATCTCCAAATAACCTTCATTCAGCTTCACTGCAGTTTGATCGTCTTACACAAAATTATGTGGACTGGGCATTCTTTTGGGAGTGCCATTATTCTCTTGTATCAATAAATTTACCAAGTTTTCTTGAACCTAGTGCTTCGAAAATTCTCAGTACGGGGAAGTATTTGAATGTTGTACAGCAATGCGGTAAGTTCTTTAAAAGTAACGTTTTGTGTATATAACAAATTTCTTTGTTTATAGTTGTAGTAACTCGTCGTTAAGCCTTTCATAAGTTATAAGGAAGAAAAAACGTGAATGATGTCTGGAGTTTCTATTTTTAAAATATTAGTAGTCATAATCTTATCTTTTACCTTAACACATTTCATCTCATATTTTCGGATCAGTTAACAACGATGGTTCAAAAGTAAAATTTGTGTCTGTGTCACTGAGATTTTTTGTCGTATGTTAGAACTTATAGTTACTGCGTGCCGATGAAAGCCAACGAAGACGTCATCCAGATTTTTCACGTTCTGGTTAGTCACTCATTTGGGATATAGTAGCGCTTCTTAAATTTACTGTAGGTTTGTTGACAAATTTCAGCGTCGCGATTTTTCATAAACGGAATCGTTGAAAATCACTGCATTTTCGGGTAAGCATTCAGTGATTTAGGTCTAGGTAGCTATGGATCAGGAAGTCCTCTACGTAATATTGTTTCCAGCTGAGCAAAATAATACTTGCTTCTTTTTAGCTAGTGTCAGTTTTTATATGCACACAAACTTCTGGGCTGGGAATTTTGAGAGCTTATAGTCGTAATATATCTTGTGATGTATGTATGTATAAGGACGAAATGACTGTTTAATGCATATCTTGCATATAGCTTTACGTTGACACAACTGCTCTCAAAGTATCAGTGAGATTCGTTATTCGATTTACCTTGAATCAGAATATTATAAATAATCAGCATGTGCAAAGTCGGATTTAATCAGGTTAGCAAATCTCTTGTTCATCTGATTTATACGATGGTTCAGATTGCAGATTAACTTACATTGTGGTGTGTGCTACTTATGTCAACATAAGTAGTATATGATATGCTTGAGCTAATTCGATTTCCGCGGTAACGAACGAAAGCCAATGACATAATGACACGATAAGCTATTCTAATCTGTTGTTCCAGGCCCCGCTAACAAGATGAAGAAGTCCAAGGCAAGTAGGGGAATATATGTATTCCGTAAGCAGTCGAGTACAAGCAATCAAATAAGGGAAAAAGTCAAGCGTATTTATACAGCAACAAATTGTCCTTGAGCATTATTAATAAATAACACACACAAAGAAACAATGGACCAATAGCGTTTAAGATAGTTTACAAGTGGGAAATATGACGTCAAGGTAAAAAAGAGCGCGTTTGGCGCGAAAACAGCTAAATTCAAATTTCCAAAATAAAATTACAAAACTAAGCCATTTACCAAGTAAGTTCTGGGGATTTGACATCCCCAACAGTATATAACACTAGTCAATCTGGCAGCAAAAAGTTGAGAAGATCGAGGAGGGAAGAACGGTGTTATAAATTTCTCTTATTACGACACAGCTATTCCTATTGCTTAGTATTCTTGGACACTAATTCACTCGACAAGTCCCCAAATCAGAACACGGTCGAACCGGAAAGAAATTACATTCCGAACAACAAGGGTAGATGGAAGTAAGAAACACAAAAAGGAATACGTTAGTATATTTATAGTTTTTACATAGGAAGATTCTAGAGTGTTCTTCAAGTATCGACTAGCGCTGATTGGATAATAATTAACCAATCAGCGTGCACCGACGCAGTCGTGCATGGAACATGCCTTAGTTCAGTCTATATCCCGCTAACAAACCGGAACAGAAAGCAATTGATATGGAAATTTAGAAACAATAAAGACGATTAATTAACATTTTCAAAAGAAATATTGGAGTATGGTTTTTCTATTTTATCAATTAACTGTGTAATTTTGTGCTAAATATAATCGGTTGTCCTCACGTGTGTTCTCCTTAACTACAGTGTTTCCAAGAAACACAAACATGGTACATCGCCAATTTAACTTTGTAAGTTTGCGTTGTAAATGAGTGACATTGTTTGAACTGTAGTTAAGTACCCAATTTCTATCTCTAAGTAAGGACAATCAGTGTATGGTCTCTCTACTCTTAAACAAGTTACGAGTACATCGCTACATAGCGAAAAATCATGTTTAAAACCTAAGTGTCTTACGGACCGCGTATTTTTCAACTGTCCAAATATTAAAATAAATTTTCCTGTTTTAACTACTCATTTGCGTATGATAATCGCCTGATGTGGTTCACACACTTTTCCAAGAAGCCAACAACCTGTTACGAAGCTAAATGATACAAAATTCAAGAGGGATTATCACAGTATTCCATACTTTGCTCTTTATGCCTCTTCTTTCAGAGAAACAAAAGGCGATTACATTGAATTTCATATATCAAATGTATTAAATAAAAGTTTCATAGATGCTTAGTAAATTGGTTGTCGACTATTAATAATGAAAATAAATAGCACCTAATTACTATGGGTAAAATGTTTTTATGCTTGTTTCAGTATTGCACGTTTTTTGCTTATTCTTTATTTTAATCAAACATATAGAACTGAATAAAATAATTATTGTTATTTCAAATCACCTAACCGTTGTCTATTCATCGATCTCAAAATAACCTCGTACGAGCTAATATTTTAAGCCATATATTGGTCCACACGAAACTGATATTTAGTCAGTTAATTGACTGTCAAAATGCTCTGTTGGATCTTGATTTGAGGGTTCAACAATAACTTTTTAGTGGTAAATTTGGAAGTTACACATCGTGCCCTGGTACGGCCGAGAATGGGGAGAGTCCGCTCTCTCTCGAAAAATGCTCATATGACCACGCATATATAGCCACTGCCAGGGAAGTCCTACTCACTACCTTCTCGTGGCATTACTGTTGTTTACGAAATTGAGAGGAAGAAAAGCGAATGTCCGGCGCTTTAACCGGGTTGATGGACACAGAAAGTCCACCTAGGGAAGTGGGAAAACCCAGACTCCAAACCAATGGTGCACATGGGCTCCAGTACCTTGAGGGAACAAATGGCGTATGAATCAATCGTTGGTCATCGGCTACCATGGGATCGCATCTCCTCACAATGATCCACTGCATTGTGGATCAGACCTTTAGGTCAAAGGCTGGGGGTGTGGCTCCCTAAGAAAACCACCTGCTTCAGTTTGGGCACCTGGGCAGTATCACAGCCCTCACACAAATCAAATGAAATTTGTGCGGCGCATATTTATTCGGTGCCCCTTTGTACCAATATTTATGTGTTCAAATAAATAAATACTGAGTGATCCAATAATATGGTGAATAAAAATTCCCTTATGTGGAGAAATGCTTCAACAGAATCTAATATGAAGGCTAAATTGGTTTCAAAAAGTATTATCAATATAAATACATTGAACAAAACGTCCGCCTATTGCTTCCAGCTTTTCCATGGTGGTCTTATACTGATCGGTTTATGATTTAGACAAATAAATGAATTCAAACCGGATAGTAGGAATGATGAACTACTCTCAGAGTTCCCAGAACGTCCGAGAAAGGTATTTATACGAAAATAGTTTTTCAGTACTGGCACAGAGGAGAGGATGGATTGGTTGTATTTTTTTTTTACACTAGATAGTTCACTACTATTAACCACCATATTAACTGCATATTACAACCAACATTGTAATATGTAACTGTTTTCTATTTTTTGTTATAACTTGTTTTCAATTACTCAAAATTTTAACTTACTATTTCTTAGCCGATCGTTATGAACTTCCTACGTGTGAAGAACTTGTCTATAATAAAGAGCATTCAGTGTTTCTTGATAAGATTGATCAAGCTCATATGTATGCAAGCAGTTTATTATTGAAATTGATGCTGCAACAAAAGGATTTAAAAGAACACCTAAAGTAATTCTATCATATTAACATTTAATAACTTATGTTACAATAATTTTCTCCAGAAAAACTAGCATATGTTTAAACTAAGATGATTACAATAATACGTATACTTTACATAATAATCCGTCAATGCATTTCATTATTCAGTTTGCTTGTTTCAGTGATTTGATATGTTTAAGCATACCTCTTCATTGTGATTAGTGGGTACCTTTCCTCACTTCCAACTAGACTCCATTCAAAGGTTACATATTGTAAATAAGAATCTTCGAAATTCATTTCTGAAGTCATTTTGTTTGGAATGGTGGGTTTTAAGTACATTGATGACTTTTGGGACTACCATTTAGCAACGAATATTTTATCAGTTATAAATTTGTTCTCAAGTTTATATATTAGGAAATAGACGAAGTGCCAAAATATCTATGAAAATGAGTAGTGATTTCGGATGTAAAAGTAGACAATCGAATGAATAGGGTAACCATAACTTCCGAATTCATTTTGTAATTTGCAAGTTCACGCATGTAATTATAAAGTGGACAAACTATATAATAACGAGTAATCGAATTTAGGGGACTTTTATCAGTTGGAATAGTGACAATAACTAGGTAACGAAATGAGGACGAACTTTAGTGGTAGTCATGTATAAACAACAGATATCATAATAGCCGCAATTTAGAAATAAAAGAAGGGAGTTATAATAGAAATATTAATAATAAGAAATAACTTATTCATTAATTACATTTTTAGAATATTAGATAAAAATACTTCCACCCTTACTGTAAATGTGCTTGAATAAACCTCTACTATTTTCATGAATGTGTACATCCTAAAAAGTAAATTTATTAATTTTTAAAAATATGTTAGCTTGCTGCTACAAATGAAAATGAATTATAGTAAGTAAAACGACGAATACTTTCTTTAAAATAACTTAATATTTATTTGTATTGCAGATCTGTTAAACGTTTCTTTCTGTTGGATCAAGGTGATTTTATTGTTCATTTTATGGATGCCGCTACAGCAGAATTACGTAAAAATAGCGAAAGTAAACAAGAATTTTAATATAATTATTCAAATGTGTTAATACTTATTTACGTATTCTGTTGTACATTTTAAAGAGTTGTTTGAACAAATTGTGTTGTTTTAGTGTGTTTGTAAAAATACCTTAGGATAATGCTAACTGAGACATGTCTTCGTTTTTTAGCATTGCAAAAGAGTGAGTTTCCGTCACATACCTTTCACGTATTTATCTTTTTTCTTTCACAGCTATTTCTCAACTACGTCTAAGTTCTTTATTGGAATTGGCACTTCGTACTAGCACTGCTAATAGTGATCCATTCAAAGATAACTTATCGTAAGTAAAATGTGCTACCGAAAATGTTTTACGTCGAAAAATCGATGTGATTTATCGCTGTATTGTATTTAAATGATAGTTTTATTATCTAATCAGCTTTAATAAACCAATCTTGTGATTTATAATTAGATTTTCAAAATACGTTTATTACTTTCTCTGTTTATTTGTCATTTAGCGTTGTGATATTTCAATTTGATTTAATCTCTCAAATTTTGATGGTTTTACGGGCTGGATCGGAAGACGAACCATGTAAACTAAGTTTTCACACCCTATAATTTCATTATTTTTTTTCTTTTACCCTAAAATATAATAGTTTCAGTTGTTTAATTATTCTAAGAATAATTACAGGATTTTATCACTCAGTTTTTCCATTTATATGGGGGGATTGTATTTATGCAGAAAAAAGGTTTTCCACCTTTATAGCTTTCACACTAATGTATGGTCGTGCAATAAAAATTCACTATACTTAGTAGTTCCAATCTATCGAAAACGTGCTAATAGGATTAATTATCATTTAAAAGAGTAGGGAATAACATTTCTTAAGTGTATATTTTATCAAGTGAAAACCTGATTAGTTAACTGTGCACACCTGACATATCCTTTCGGATTGATTTTGAAATTATGGTGTACCATGAATTTAAATTGAATATATTTTCATGTTCCATCGTATCCGATCTAGCCATTCAACGTGAATATCTGCAAATAACCCATCATTAAAAACGCATTCAGTGTATAAAAACTAACATACCTTTAGCTTGTTATTTTTTTCATTAGATCTAGCCCCATTGCTTTTTTGGATTTGCGGAGTTAATTAATGTCTCACCCAGTAACTTGTTGCATTAGTTTATATCTGGTTATTAACTTCGTATTTGTATAAACAATTAGTTAGTGACCCACTAACATCAATACTATCCAACAAAGCATTTGAAAAGTTTTTGAAGAGTAACCCCTAGGCGGTTTGAAGTAAATTGTTTTCACTAAAGCAACTAATGTAGAAGTTTAGTCGCAAATGAAAACTATTTTATCACAAGCAAAGGACAGTGTTCTAACTTAAAATTGCTATCATTTGCCTTCCAATATAAACTTCAATTTAATATTGTATTTATTCCATCAAAAGCAGTTGTGGTAGACTAATTATGAGATTGCTGACAATTCAGATTCAATTATTATGTACTATTAGAGATTAGTATGATCATATAGAGTGTAGCAGGACATTTCATATTTTAGTTATCATCTCGCAACATATTGTTCACCGTCTCTTCTATGTAATGACAGATGACTCGTGAAGTCAATATTTTTAAATTGAATTAATGATGTCGTTGTTATATACATGTTTTTATTCAACATACTTTTGTAATATATGTTATTCATTTGTGACTTAGACCTGTTACCGATCCAGGATAAAAATCTTTCAGGACTAGAGGCTTTCTGTTTGGATTATAGAGTTGGCTGGCCTATTGATTTAGTACTCAATCGTCAAGTAATGGATCGCTATCAAATGCTTTTCCGTCATATTTTATACTGCAAACATGTTGAGAGATTACTATGCAAGTAAGAAATACTATGTTAGCACCATTTCTTTCATTTTGTTTACCACCTGTAAACAACGAAGTATTTAACCCGAATACATTATGAAAATTTCCATTAATCTCTGAACTATGAAAATTATAACCGTGAGTTTTAGACACATTTGGAGTCCAATAACCAAATACTGGTTTGTATACTCAATTCAATCCACATTACCGTGCAAAGGCTAACTACGTCACTTAGATGTCTGAACTGAAAAGTTGAGTGCATTAGCCACCAAGCTACTGTCCAACTGTAATTATAACTCGTGAGTGTATCGAGTTTCACTAATATTAACTAGGTATTTATCAAACTAACCACAAATCGCTATTCTATTAGTCGTTGTTGGTTTCATCCATGGATAGCTGCAAATATTGGTTATTTCAGTTTAAAATTCCTACGAATTGTAAGTGAGAAGGTTAATGATATGTGGTAGTGAGATTGAAATGTTATTAGTCATTAAGCGTGGACAAACAGGCAATTAGCCTATAGACTTTCAAATATATGATTTCCCTTCCTATTATTGATTTAGACTCCGGACTCACTGAGTGTATCTTTTTGTAATTGTTGAATAATTTATAATTTAGTGTCAGTTCTCCATTCTGGGTTTGTGATACGATGTAACGTGTCCAGTCTCATTACTGTAAGGAAATATTTTGAACCATCCGTTATATCAGTTAAAAAGCTGCTTGTGTCACCAATATTTATTTCTAATAAAATGTTGTTGGGGTATTAAACCTTCGGTGTATATTGATTCAATGCATAATGCTGACATATAAGTAACTGTAAACTATCGTCTAACCTTTTATCTAACATTTCAGCTCATGGATTCTAGGCAAACTTGCTCGTAAATGTGATAACCTTATGACTACCTGGTTTACAACCGCTTTCCTACTGGCCCAACGAATGCTTATTTTCATTCAACATTTCCAATATTACATGTCTGTTGAGATCATTGAACCAGCATGGGACAGTTTTTTCAAACGCGTTGACAAAGTATGTTGTTGCTATTTACACACACATCATTTCACTAAATTCATGTATCCAAGTCGTAAAGCACGCACAACCAAAATTAACAGCTCTGTTCAACAGGAGATGAATATGAAGTATACTACTTACAAATCACAAGATATTAACAATGAAGGCCACTTCATTGTTGAATCATGAAAAATTGTGATAATCGAAAAATGTTCCCATAAATGTGAACGTTAATTCATTTTAACCACTCCATTGGATTTCTCGTACCGAAGAACCACTTTGTTAAAGCTAGCCACGAAAACAAGACTTGTATAAAAAAGTGTTTTGTTGGGGGAAAATGGAGTACTGCTAACTAGTCAGACAGGTAATATGAGCAGTACCCCTTAAATCTGTAATAATTGTCAATTTTTTCATGAATTTACCGCAAAACGTTGCTACGTAGGTGGTATTTCTCAGCTTGAACTTTAGTCTTTTTGACACTTGTCTGTAACCTAAATCATGTCTTGTTTGCATTTTTATTGTGTATCATAATGAATTTCCAATTTCTTCATTCTTCGGTAGGTATCTAATTTGGACTTACTTTTAGACTCACATCTACATTTTTTGGAAGTATGTATGGATGACTGTTTACTAGCTAGTCCTGACCTATTAAGTTTAGTCGCGAAATTATCTGTCGCCTGTGTAACATTTGCTAATTTTATCCAACACTTGACGTTCTCCATAACAGGAGTCAATTTATCATCACCTGGCGATAATGATCAATGTATTATTTATCTATCCCGGCATGGTAATGATATGAAAAGGCCTTTCTTACACGATCCTACACCGTCATCAAGTTTAAGTCGAACAAAGAATGATTTAAAATATGCACCTCGTGAATCTACTACTAGTTCAGTAGAATCTATGATGACAAAAGTAAGTAGTGAATTGATCTATCATTACTTGACAATATTCGTGTTTTATTGTTGTAGAAGAAAAGTGGAGTAAGCAGCCCCTTTCTATAGATCAGGCAAGTAGTTGCGAACACTAGTTGGTGTGTGATATTCTCCCAGTATTTACATATTTCTTGAGAGTTTGTAGCACCATTGAAGCAGCTGCTTTTTGAGTTGCGAAGCATGTTCGGTTTATGTATGTTGCACTATATAAATGTTTGTTTTGGCACTATTTTCTGCGTTACTTATACGAAACGTTTAGACAAATATCGCCGCAGAATTATATGCATATTTTCAAGTTGCCACACATGTCTTTAAAACTATTCACATTCAGGTGTAATGCTTAGTTATCTGTATATATGACAATAAAGAATCACTGTTGTCTTAAGTAATATTGTCAGGATCTGAGACCACTTATTAAATCATATCATCCTTAGTACATAAACAAATGGGAGCTGTAGTTCACACTAAACTTGCTTTATTCTCTATAATTTTAATACATAAAAGTCCAACTTAAAACAGCCAAATCTATGTACATTCAAGATCATGACTTGAAACCTTAAATTTGGAAAATATTCTGATTGTAACGAGTGTTTTTGCTGCATACCGTTCACTGACACAATGTCTATCAGTAAGTACATAGTAATCTCAATCCCCTATGATTTTAGGTCACTAGAGAAGAGTTTGGTAGAATGAGCTTGTCAGATGATATGGCTAAAACAGTTACGAACTTCGATACAAATTTCAATAGAATGTTAGTTGAACTCCTTGAAAAGATCAAACAATATGCCAAGCATCACAGCAAACTATTAAGTCTAGTATCAAGGTTAGTTAATTCTTATAAATTATTACTCTGATTCTCGTCTTTCTGTAATTTCATCTTTTATGTTCTTTCACTATCTAGTATCCTTCGAACACTTGTTTATTCGAATCTTCTCTAACCAACTTAAAAATTGCAAGAGAGCAATGTAAATTACAATAAATTCGAATAACAAACGCAGTGGTAAAAATAGTTTATATAAGATTTGCATAAGAGTCTTTTAGCATTTTGATTCGTTTAGCAGCAATGATTGTTTGAAAATGAAACTATCGTATTCGGAATAAAGCTTGACAAAAGAATGTAATAGTCAAAACTTCATCCTGCTAACACCAACAATCCTCCGTGATGTTTTATTCGTAAGCGGTAGTAACCTCCACAAAAACATGTTGGTAGTAGTGAAATGTAAACCTTTGTACTTGAAAATTCCGAAAACACCATAAACAACGTATGTGTTAGAAAGTACTTGTGTAAACTTGAAAAACATTCTAACGATATTCATCACTTTTCTCCAGCTGATGATTTTTATGTTGGTTAGCATATCTGTGACTGTTAATGAGTACATAGTTGCACATATCAAGGGATTTTCATTAGTTTTGTGATAGATTTAAGATGCCTAACACTATGTTATAACCTGTTATAATTCATTTAAAGTTCTGAAAGTGAAACATTTTGCCTTCTTACACAGACTCGACTTCAACGAATTTTACACTGAATTCGCAATGCAGTACGATCAGAGCGAGCGATCTCCAAAGTCACCTGGTGATCATGAACCTTCTCTTGATAAAGATACTCTCGTCGAACACAAATCAGTACCACAAACGAACTCGGGGTCAGATAATGAAGATTATATTTAATATAGGATTTGTGTTTTCAGTTTCTTGGAATAAATTATTTTTTTATGTACCCTAACTAACGGTTCGTGATATGAAACTTTCGTATTTTTGTTGTTATTAATCTTAGTTCCACATTTATCATGTCTTATTTTTGCTTAATGATCACATTCACGTAAACATTATGCCGTATATATTTTTTCTTGGTAAGATGCATTATCACCGCAAATGTAGGTAGCGCTACATAACATGTGCATTCCAAACCCATTCCGTGCAGAAAATATTAGTGAAGTAGATGAACTAAGTATGATTGTGGGACAACTAGATCTCTTTGTTAGTGAGATATTCGTTTTGGTATAAACAACCACGGTAAATATCAGACTGTTATCTGATACACAATACATGTCTTTTGGTTGTAACAATTTTCATTTTCTTCGTGCAACGACTTGAACAAGCAATGAATTATCAGTCAAAAAGAAAAATACACAATTAGCATTATTATCCTTTCAGATAAATTAGGGTGACTATGAAAGATTTTAAAATATGTAGAAACGTGTTTGAATTGATATGATGAATGCGGAAATTGTGCTGACCATTATCAGTTTTATTCGTACAAACTTGATAAAAGCGAATAAACGACCACATGACGTATGTGCGTTAAATACGAGATAGTATGTTCTGATATACAGTTGCGCACATATTACAATTCTTTGTTGCTTAGGCCTTAAATGTGATTAGTGACGAATTCACTGTACTGGCTGAACTTGTGATACCAACCACACATTTTTCAACACCAGTGCCTAATTCCATAATAACATATACCATAAACATTCGGTACAAGTTAAAAGTTATACTATTTGAAATTAGCTGTCTGGACATCAGTGTTTGAAGACGATAACGTAACAAAACTTAAAATTCATCGAGATGAAGTAAGGCTTGTTATAACAGTAAAGACATACGGAGATTCACAATAGACTAGTCTGCAAAGTGTACGTACGCCTGTCACAAATCGGCTCTCAAAACATCATCCGGTATTAAAATTCTTTCGCCAGGCTTAAACGGTGGAAGCCCACGATAAGGGCATGTAGAACATCGAAAAGCATCCCCAAGATAACACTAAAAGGTATTTTAAAAAACGGTTGAAAATAACATAACAAATTAGATACTGTTCGAAAATTAAAACAATTTGGATTCTTTTTCACATGTCAATTTAGTTTTATCAGGCACCAATGGATGAACTACACAAAATATATAATATCCACTAGACCTGAAGAAAATGGTAAATTGAATTAATCAGGAATATGTGTTGTATACAACTAGTCCTTTGTGCTACACTTGAATTTGAATCTACAATCCAGCGGTCAACCACTAGGCTCTAAAAATGTTTTGAATTTTTTCGATAAGCGTACAACTAGTCAGTGAAAGACAATTTTCAGACGATTATGATATGAATGATAACGTGTTTATTTTGTGATAATGAGCGCGTTATTAGATGTTCAGTTATAGCATGGATTCAGTTTGACTTACATAATGGGTTTTCACCTGTTTAGAATAATCCTGTGTGGTAAATGTTTATAAATATTTCCAAACTATAGGCGCAAGCAAGAAATTCGACCATAAGCCAATGAATATCTATTGTCATTGCTCTCTGACCGCATAAGAAATAACACGGGTTATGCGTGTATTTTTTGCTCCAAAAGCTGGAATATGCTAATAAGTAACAACCTGAAGCCCATACGTTTTGTACTTTGAATATACAACGGAGATACAAACCTAAGAATAACAAAAAAATCGCTCTCAAACTGGTTTGTGTAACTGTGATATGTCCGACAGTGCCGGACTACTACATTTCGAGCTAAGATTAGTCGGTGACGAAGTTGTAGTAAACTCGAAAACAACTTATGTTTGCAGCATCCCCAGCAATATGTACCGCGTTTGTATTTAAGAAATGTCGAACATCTCCTTGATGATAACTTCACTTAATGTTTTTCTCTAACACTATCACCACAAACTACTTGTCTACCATGGTGTGCTAAAAAGTAAAATAGATAACCATGGCTTACATTTCCACAGGACGATATTGGGACGTCCGATTTATCTTCTTCCGCTGCTTCGATTTCAGCCAAGCCACATGTACAGTTTTTACAAGCTCGTTTCTTTTTCCCAAGTGAGTCCGTAGCAGCCTCTTTGCCACAGACGGACAAAGGAGTTTTCAAATCTGATTTTTGCAAAAGCGCATTTGTATTTATAATATTTCCATTGGCGTCAGATGAATTATCAACATTTTCCCAAGCCGCCTCGACATCACTGTTAGCCCATGGGAGTTTGACACTAGAACCCTGGGTATAATTGGACGGAACAGAGGCGCTGAATATTAAGTGGTTTTCACATGACAACTGAAATGTGAATAAAAGGTAAGAAAAGACTAAACATCTTTTTGTACAGATACGAATTACTACTGTTGATATTCTCCAAACCTACCAAGCATTTGTACAGAGTTCATTATAATTACATCGAATGCTTTTTTTATCAGCAACAAGTAAATTGGCCACCTGAATAAGAATATTATCTTAGTGCTACAAAAGTGTTACGAGTTATTTGTTTATAAATAGACGTAGAGAACACACCAATGGCTACAATGTGCATGGTTGATGAAAACAAACAATTAGGACATGTATGTATATAATCAACTGATTGCAACTATGACAACGCAAAGAATGGACAAAACTGTAAGGAAGAATAAACTTTCAGGTAAAATAGCATTTATAGAGAACTTTAGGTTACAAATGAGAATAAACCATGTAGTAAAATATACTCAGGCCAACTAGTACAGGTGGCTTAGTAGTAATAGCTGAACATTTTCTTTTAAACTCATAGCATATCATTCCCAACAAAATATACTTATCTCACGTTCTACGCGTATTTGGTAATCGACTTGAAGTCAACGGATGACAAAACAGCCATTTAGAACATCAATAAATGCAGTCTTTTGAACAATGCGAGCAAAACGTTAAAACCTAGCTCGAACAAAAAAAATTATAAACCAATAAACTTATATGGAGTTACTGGTCACTACAATTACTTATATACCTCAATAACCATTTATGATAAACCAAATGAGATACATGCATAAGTGAAAACATTTACGGGATAAAGAATAACCTTAATTTACTGCGGGAGGATTTCATGGTACCGTTACACCCCAAACGCCCTGATACGGCCGAGAGTGGGGAGGGGCCGACATCCCTCTCCAAATGCTTTCACACACTGCTTTCTCGTGACGCAGGTGTTGTTTACGAAAGAGAGAACAAAAAGCGAATGACCGGCGATTTAACCAGGCCGGTGGACAAGGTGAGTCCACCTAGGGAAGATGGAAAACCCTAATTCCAAAGCAATGGTGCACATGGGATCCAGTACCCTGAGGGAACAAATGGAGCATGAATCAATTGTTGGTCACCGGCTACCATGGGACTGCATCTCACGAGGCTCCCCTGCCTTGTGGGTTAGACCTTTAGGTCAAAGTCTCGGGGTGTGGCCCCCCAAGAAAACCACCTGCTTCAGTTTGGGCACCTGGGCAGTATCACCGCCCTCACAAAAGCCTAATGAGATGACAATTACTTCACCAAATACTATGCTCAGTTAACTTAGAATTCAGACAATCGACATTCACTTGATAACACACAATTTTATTATTATTACTATCGTTATATATACTACGTCACTTATTTTCCTCTATACCAACTTCATGTACTCCCGTTTTTCACCTTATACAGCAGCCAGTCCATGGTGGAAACTCTGTTCTATCTAAACGATTTCGAGTCACTGTCTACTCGCAAGTGAATGCTCCCGACACAGTCATCACCGATGTGCCATCTGGCGTCCTTTATCTGCATCTCAAGTTTGGACTCAGATTGATCTCATCGCGATCAGCTGGCGCGGTTGTGTAGAAAATTGGGCAAAACTTGCGTAAAGACCGAGAAGCCTGGTTGTCGGAGCGTGACAATGAGTTGAAAGCAACAGCTGCATCTGGTAACTACCGGAAGCTCTTCCAACTCATCCAAGCCACTGGCAGAGAGAAGTCCGGTATGAGCGAAACAATCTGTGAGGATGACGGGATGCCAAACACCAACACCCATCGACGTCTTGGACGATGGGCAGAATTCTTTGAAGTACAGTTCAACTGGTCTGCTGCTCCGGCAACATCGATCAGACTGTCCTGCCCTCCATGACCTGTGACGACTGATCTACCAAATGAGACGGAAGTCCGCAAGGAACTCCAACTCTTGAAACTCTACAAATCACCAGGCCCAGATGACTAACCTCCCGCTCTTTTTAAAGATGGTGGTGACTTTCTGGCTAAGAAATTGACTGTGTTGTTTACAAAGGTCTGACAACTAGAGAGTATCCCAACATCATGGAATGAATCGATAGTCGTTCCTATCTTTAAAAACGGTTCACGTCGTTCCTGTAACAACTATCGGGGGATAAGTCTATCTTCGATTGCGTCCAAACTGTTGGCTTCTGTCATACTTCGTAGGTTGTTTAAAACCCGAGAAAGATTGACTCGCGAGGAGCGGGCTGGATTTCGTTCTGGTCGAGGATGCATTGATCATATCTTCACCCTCCACCAAATGTTAGAACACCGTCATATTTATCACAGGCCAACAATCGCAGTGTTTCTTGATATCAGGGCTGCCTTCGGTTCGTTGGACAAGACGGATCTCTGGGATTGTCTATTTAACAGGGGTGTGCCTGAGTTTATTAACATCTTGAGAACCTTATATACAGACACCTCGGGAGGTGTGGATCTGTGGCCTGGAGAAAGACTTCTCGGGTGATATTGTCTTACTGTGCGATAATGCTCAAGCCATGCAATCTGCACTTAATCAGTTGGCAATCAGTGTCCGTAGACATGGTAGCTCTGATGGATGTAAGTAACGGCGGTGTGGATTTGCTGCCTGGAGAAAGACTTCTCGACCTTGAGTATGCGGTTTATTTTATTTTATTTGAACACATACATATTGGTACAAAAGGGAACCAGATACATATGCGCCACACAAAATAATGAAAATAGGAAGAGAAAGGATGAAAAGATAAGGGGGACTGAAATGTACAACCGGAAGACTCTTTCAGTTAAGAAAGTTAGAACCACTCTTTATGGAGAAAGTAAAAGAAGGTTACAGCACGCTCGCCACTGGCTTTCATTCTGAGCCATATCTGATAACGTCTAGCACCATCCCTCGGACCCCAACCAGGGAGTCGTGAAGGACCAACAGAAGCTAGCCCTTTGCAGCTACTTTCATGGCAGGATTCTAATCCTGTACTCACCCTGGATGGTGAGCAGACTGAAGTAGTTGAGAAGTTTGTGTATCTGGGTAGCTGCATAAGTGTTGGTGGTGGCGTGAGTGATGAGACCGATTCACGTATAGTGAAAGCCAGAGCAGCTTATGCCAATCTGGGTCATCTTTGGCGCCTTCGTGATGATGCTATTCTGGCTGTAAAATGTCGGATCTACAGTGAGTTGGTGAGAGCAGTTCCGCTCTATGTTTGTGAAACCTGGCCTCTCCGAGTTGAGGATGTTAGACGACTCTCTGTGCATGATCATCGTTGTCTCCGAAGGATTGCTGATATCCTGTGGCAAAACCACGTTAGTGAAGCAGAGGTTCGGCATCGTGTGTTCGGGCGCAGAGATGATAATCCGATTGGTGTCACCATCATGAAACACCGACTTCGGTGGCTTGGGCATGTTCTATGAATTATTTGCCGACACTGGGATTGGTTGGAAGAAGCGGAGAGGAGGTCAGTGTATGACATGGTGTCATGGTATGAAAGAAAGCTGCAAAGGGTTGGCTTCTGTTGACCCTTCACGACTCCCTGGCTGGGGTCCGAGAGATGGTGCAACACAGTGGCTAGAGACATTGTCAGATATGGCTCAGAATAGAAGCCAGTGGCGACCCTACTGTAACCTTCTTTTACTTTCTTCAAACACAGTGTTTGTAACCTTAACTGAAGGAATAATTCTGACTGTGCCTTTCCGTTTCCTCCATCATTATTCATATTATGACTTTAACATACACTAATCTGTGGTTGTTATTGTTCTTTTTTTCTTTTACGCCGATTACCTTCTTTTCCACCTCCCATTCTTATTGTTTTGTGTGGCACATATATATCCGGTTCCCGCTTTTGTATCAATATTTATATGCTCAAGTAGATAAATTGATTCACTGCTGCTTTACTTGTACTAAAAACTTTGTAAACGTATGATTCTATGATAAGAAATACCAAAAGGCTATAGCATAATTTTGTAGCTATTATTTACATATAAAAATCATACCTGGTAGGGATTTATATACCCAGAGAGGGTTAGGTTCTTTTTCAAGGAATTCCAGTCACCCGTAATGAGGTCACGACCAAAAAATCGCCCACCAGGTCGCAAACAGGATAATAGGTTTGATAGCAAGCCAAGTTTGAGTATGTTTACGCTTATCGAGTTAGGCCAACCACACAATATGACAGAACACTCGTGAAGCTGACTATCTACAGCTGAACTGTCCACGAATTTCTCTAGATTTTCGAACTGCAGCTTCTTAACATATGTAGAAACAGCCACTTGTAAACCACGCATAACGTCTTCTTGAACTTCACCCGACCATACAATCATTACATAGTCATCGCTGTTAAGACAATCGGCTACACATTGTTCCATGATGACACCTGAGTAAAAGTCATGGCGTATGTAAGTTTATTTTGACAAAATATATTTGCGTTTCGAAGTAAATTTTAGATAAACTGTGTAAACAAACTAAGTATCAATAATGTTTTAGTACACAAATGGAACAAGCATAAAGTGGAAGTACAAATGCATTCCACTGCCGTTAAAGGCGGAATATAGTCTACATGACGATTAAGATGTGCACCTATTGAAAAACAAGTGTAAAATTCAAATACCTGGACACTTTTAAATAATTAACTAACATTGCAGTAAAAAACCAACTGCCCGACCGTTGCTGCTACCTTGACGTGGTGGTCGGGCTTGCCTATCGTGATGAAGCAATCGAGCTATACTGGCTGGAACAATCGTTCCTCAAGGTCCTACCATGCCAGACAGGTCGGTTGAAGAACAGTAAGACTAAAAGCGGCAAATCCAAGGTCCGAGGGCGAAGTCGTATGGCTTACTGTACAGAGGTGTGGCAGCAGTAAGGTGTTTCCTTCAGACAATCAGCATAACAGCGATGCTGCCTTGCCACAAGGAAGGGTGGGGTTAGAAAAGGCCGACCCTAAATATACACACCACGCCTAATCCCACGGATTTCCTTCTCCGGCGGTAAGGTCCCAAAAACTACGGAACTAGCACAATCCTAGTGTGGTCATTCACTTGACCTCACCTCGCCAAAATGGACAGCCAACGAAATACACCCTCCGTGTATCTGGCAACACGATGGCTAGTTCTCGTGGACTTGCAGGTGTAGGCATGGCACTTAGTACGAGGGCAGAACAAGCACTACTAGAATGGATCCCCAATAACAGTCGCCTGTGTGCTGTCCGGCTAAATGGCTTTTTAAAAACTCGGAAGGACAGGGACACACGTCGTTGCCTTTTCGTCGTTTCTGCCTACGCTCCCACTGACTGCAGCCATGATGAAGTGAAAGATGACTTTTACAGAAAGCTCTCTGAGCTTCTTCAGAAAGCTAAGCGATCAGACATAGTACTTGTAGCGGGTGACTTTAATGCCCAGGTAGGCAGCTTGAGTCAAACAGAAAGACATTTAGGTGGGTGTTTTAGTATTCCTGCTCAACGAACCGATAATGGTGATCATCTGTTGCAACTATGCTCAGACAATCGTTTATTCTTAGCAAGCACTAATTTTAAACATAAGGAGAGACATCGTCTAACATGGCGACCACCTGCACCAAACCGACGATGGACTCAAATCGACCATATTGCCATCAGTTATCGTTGGAGAGGCTCGATAGAAGACTGTTGCTCGCTCTGGAATACATGTCTAGACTCTGATCACGCTTTAATACGAGCGCTCATTTGTTCTCGCCTCATTGGACGCAGGAAAAGTACACTAAGAAGACCCATTAGGATTGAACTGGAGGACGAGAAAGCCAAATGTAAATTCCATGAACAACTGAGTTCACATCTAGGCACTTCTGTAAACGAGACTGACACAGATACTGCTTGTAAAGACATACGAACAGCTGTGGAAACAGCAGTAACAAGTCTATTTCGCTGATGGATTAGCGTAAACTCATCCCATCAGACTCTGAAGGGCGTAAACAAATCAGACCTAGGTTAACCAAAAATCTGCGGAAAGATCATGAGCTGTGGTGGGCAACAACAATTAGCGATTAGGTTGACTAATATTTTAGCTAAAATCTGGGAGCTGGACATAATCCCATCTGACTAGTCACAATCACTTATTGTCCCAATATATAAGGATCACAATCATCCTGTGATAACCATGGAAGGACTAGTTTAACTAATATAGCATTTAAAATATTAACCTCAATAATTATCGGACGTTTAGCAAAGACTCATGAACTGCAAACACGAGAAAATCAGGCTGGCTTCAGACCTGATAGTGGTTGTGTCGACCACATATTCACCATATTCGTCAGATTTCAGAACACAGGCATGCTTATCGGCGTCCGACAATGATAGTTGTGCTTGACTTGAAAGCAGCATTTGACTCTGTAAACCGAGAGGTTCTGTGGCAGTGTCTGTCATTGAAAGGTGTACCTCGGAAGTACATAGACCTTATGAAGGCTCTTTACTCGAACACTAGTAGTCGAGTCAGAGCCTATGGAGTAGTGTCATCTGATTTTGTGACCTCAAGTAGTGTCCGACAAGGCTGTCCACTATCTCCATTTTTGTTTAACTTCATTATAGACCTGTTGCTGTAAATAACACTCTCTTCGACTGAATTCTCAGGAATTGATCTCCTACCAGGAGGTCTACTTATCGACTTAGAATACACAGATGACATAGTCCTGTTTGGTGAAGACGCTGACAAAATGCGGAGTCTTCTGTTGGAACTCAGTAATAATGCCAGGATGTTTGGGATGCGTTTCTCCCCATCCAAATGCAAATTGTTACTCCAGGACTGGCCTGCGTCAACACCCGAACTAAGGATAGGGAGTGAAGTAGTCGAACGCGTCGACAACTTCGCCTATCTTGGAAGTCTGATGATCCCTAATGGGTTGGTGTCTTAAAAAGTCTCTGCACCAGTTCAAAAAACTGGTCCCACGTTGTAGCTGACTGACTGGCCGCCGGATGGCATTTGACGTGATTTAATGGCTTAAATCGAAGGCCAGGATCAAAAGTCCTCTAAGAGAACCACCTGTTGGGATTTGTGTCCGCAAGGCTTCAGAACTTACGATGCTTCAATTATTTTAGACGTTGATGTTCAAAATTTGTTTCATTTCAATGTCCTACTTTCTTTTATAGCACGTTTTCTTATGATAATCTTTAACCCAATTACTGTTAAAAGTTCTGCGCTGTCACTAAACAAACCTGACACAACTTTTAGGAAACCACGTGTGGTATTTTAGCTCCTAACTGTCAGCACTCAAAGACTCGTGCAGATCGAACAACTGACAGCTGTAATTGTTATTGAAGTCTCGACATTGATGTATGCTATGCAAATGAGACTAATATTCAAGTTTTTGGTGGAGTGCTGCGAATGCACTTGATCTATCGATTGAAAACGTTTAACCTAAGCTTATCAAGAAACTCTGTGGAATCGGCGCCCTGGACAGGTTCGGTGTGGCAGTAAGAGTTACAGCAGAGACAACACTAATTGCTTGTTTGTTTTTAGGTTATGTTTCGTTAAAGCGATGGGGAACGATGTGTTGAGGATGTGAAATCTTTAATTATAACTTGTGGTTGAAATTATGCCACAGTTAATTATTCAATGTGAACGCTGTTCATAGTCTCAATACAGTTTCACGATGGTTTCTGTTAATAACATATACTCAGTTCAAATATTCTAGTCATTTTTTTATTTATAATTTGAATTTATATTATGTATTTCGTTCAACCATATTGGGTCAAAATCATAAAGCATCATTTGCAAAACCGGTGTTTTTACCCCGACTAGGGGGTAGGGAGAAGAGGACAGAATAATCTCCTTCACGATATTGAAGTTCAAGTAGCGAATCATTAGCAAAGCGTGCAAACGTATCACCATGTGATTTCATAATCTCCGCCTATGATACGGTGGATAATAGCCCAGGTGTTATAAAACTGGATTTATAAGAAAGCGCATCCGAGATGTGTTTAGAAACAAGCAAGAACGTTTCTGTGCCCAATGGAGACTCGTGGTCCAAAGTCAAATAATGGGACCATTTTCCGAAACTTTGCGCATATCATAACCTGTTTCTGTTCATCACCGTTCACAGTCCGTTTGCAACGCAAGGATGGACCGGAATCAACGATATTATTGCCATTTGTTCATTGTCAGAACTGAATAAAGACTGCCGTTCCACTTAAGGTAAGAACCTAGATTCCGCACATCTATAGGCATGCCTCAAACTTCTGCTTGCTTCGGTCGTCAAGAAATCCACTGTTTCGTAAATCGCAAGTGTCAAAACTAGCTACTTTTAGAACCAACTGTTAACCTACCAAGACGTGTAAATTAGCACTGACTAGACTCACACAGCCATCCAGGTTGAACTTCAGCCAGCAATTTATAATAATGAAATAATAACATTCTTATTTTATTATTAGCAATTAGCGTTCATAAATACGCCTAGTACCTTAGCAATGTGAAGTAGTTCTTCGAGAATTGTAGTGACTTGCAAGGATATAGTGTCTTATATAAATAAATGACAATCTTGAGCATTTACTCGTCTTCTGTAGTACACTGTTGGAAGCAGTTGAGTTTTGTGTCGGAGTAGCTGTACAAGCACTGGTTGTGTAGTGGCATATGAGATTAATCCGCGTAATATAAATAGCAAGACGGTTTATCTCATCTTTGACGTCATCATGATATTAGTCAGGATGGAAGTAATCCCATCCAATTCCTGTGAAATCTGACCATTTATGGGATATTTGGTGACTGTGTTCGATCATCATTATCTACGAAAGACAGCTCCGGCGATTGAGTCGTGTTCTTAATGTCCAAATTTCACAAGATTTTTAGGAGCTGTGGTGATAATTTGACTGACACAGACTTTAGTAGCCGGGATATTCTGCGAAATCTGTTCTAGGAGCTTTCAAACTGGTCACTACTTGCTAACGCTAGGACTGGATGGAAAAAGCAGAGTGGTGATTTTATTGCTGACGAATGAAAACTATGACTAATCGAAGCTTCAAGTAATATAAAACCAAGGAAGAAACTATGAAAATATCTAAATTCTTAAAAGGAGATATCTCTGAAAATTTACTCATTTCTATTAACAAAACAAAGAAGTGTTATCCAGACATCACTTCTGTAAGTCCAGTCGTCAATGGTTCCCAAAAGAACATTTCAGATACCGTATTAGTAAAATTGAGTTTTCGGTTATAATTCGAGGAGTTTTGTACTTTGTACTATTATATTTACTTTTGTGTTTTGTATCACTGACTTCTCCTGGCCGTGCTACTGTGAACCGAAGAAAATTGGGTCCGTACACATCTACGGCAGGTCCTACATTGTTCGCCTCTTGGGAAATTGAGATATGTACGTTTAAATGTCAAAATATAAAATCCTTCTTAGACCGTTTTTT